TCCTTTGCAACTCTAGGAAGAGAAGACACCTCTGTCCACACCTAATTTTGTTTAAGCAATTTGAAGAGTGCACAGTTCCTCATCTCTGCACCCACCTTGCCTTCCCCACCCATCATGGACACACACTCTTGATGCTTGTGAACCTTTGCAGCTCGAATGAGCTAATGGTGAGATGCGTACATTCCACTTTTCCTAGTATTTTAATGGAGCTGAGAACTTCACATCTGCTAAGAGGCATCCATCGTACATCTTGGGTTATGAGTTTGGGGACCTGTATAGATCTGTAACTTGATTCTGTAGACCTGTCCTATGGATTGGCAGGGACCAATTTTCTTGGCACATATCTCTAACAATTTCATCTGAAGAGCTTCCTTTTCTTCTACTTGAAAACATCTGGTGGTCCAGCAGTGAGGAGTTCCTCTCTGGGGCTGTGGGTGCTCCTCAGCCCTGTCAGCAGAGCATCACGGCCCCCGGGACAGCTCGTTTCTACGCAATAATGGGACTTCAGGCTCATCTTTTTTCCATCGAGGAACAAATGACAGAGAGGGGTAGATATTTTTATTTAATCTGACCCAGTTCAGTGTGTTTTGGATAACTCCTCCCTCTCCCTGCAGCTCTCTGGAGTTCCCCAGATGGGGATGAGCTTTGATAATTTGGCCTATAATGGGGAACAGCTTCAAAGCAGGGCTGTGTGGGAATGGTGTGGGTGAAATATAAGCTCAGTATGGAAATTGGGATCTTCTCTCTGTTCCTCTTGCCTCAGTTCCTACCCATCATTTCTCATCTTCTATCCCTTGCGAGCTTCTCCAGAGTCCACACAGATTTGTTCTTCAGCTTGAGTATCCTCAAGGTGTCATTTTGTGCCTCTGGGTAAGGTGCAAGAGGTCCTGTCACTTATCTTTTCTAAGATAGTCTTCCAAGGGTTTGTCTAAGGAAGGCGACTCCGAGACCTACATTTGTCATTGAGGAATACTGAGATGGTTGTTTCCTCAAATACAAAATCCTGTTCATGACTGATGCAACTGCGAGCGGGTTGTCCAGGTTTCCCTAACCAGGAGCTGCTGTAACCTCAGTCCCGCAGGTCTGCCGTCATGAATTCTGGCAGTGCCATGTAATTAGAGAAAATCTTGCCCTCACAATGACGTTTTTGAGGAATGAAGTTGCCAGCTGTGTTTATTTGAACCGCACAATACGTGTAAGACTGTCCCTGTGTGCGTAGCTGTCTACAGTATACAAAAAGAGATTCCCCCGTTCTGTATAATTAATTTACAGTGGATGTCTCTTTTCTGGTGTGCGTTTGAACTCTTTATTCTTTGTTCATTGTAAAGGGCTTAACGGTTCCTGTTCCTTGATTCTTTCATCGCTGAAATGTTTTGGAAGAGAGGTTAGAGTCCCCCTGTGACCTGCCCTGGGTGGCCCAAGCCTGTAGACCTTGCAAAGACATTACTTTTTTGGCCTGAACACAAGTCTCTCAAACCTTTAGCCTGGCTAAATGCTTTGTACAAACAGCCGCATACTGATCTGCTCTATTCTCTTGTGGATTTTCTGCTCAAGGGGCTGTACTGTAGGTGGCTTGCTATGTTTGCCACTTGCCTTGGTAGTGGAGACGGTACAATAAACGGATCCGACAGTACTGGGGCCAGCACTGTGCTTGGTTGTTCCGAGAAAATTATCCTGAAATCTGGTTGAAGAGATTAAAACCAAGAAGAACTGGCTGTGTCTTTCCTCTAAAGCTCCGTTCTCTTCTTTGTTTCTTTTTTTCTTTAAGACTTTGTTCATTCCTCCTTCAAAATAAGTTTGTGGCATTGGTATGTAAAATGTGACCTACGATTACAGAAGGTACGGCTATTTTTATAACAACCGTGGGGTGAAGCATTGCATTCATTCCTCTGAGGGCTCCTTTCAGCCAAGTGCTGTAGCAGCTTTCTGCTAGCGTCTGAGCCGTATTCTTGCTCTCATTTCTTCTGTAATACGAATAATATGATCTCATACGCCATTTCACTGCTTGAATGTCAAGTGCGTTAATGCAGGAGGGACTCCAATCGGTTCTTTTGATGAGAATTACTGTTCAAGCGAACGTTGGTTCAATGTGCTACCGTTGTTGTAATGGGCAGTGTTAAAGGGCAGTCTCGCTCCGTAACTCTCCCAGCCTTCCTCCCATACGGTTCCTTGGTAAGAGACAGCGAAAGGTGAGCTGCTGACGAGCAACCACGTCTTGGGATGAAATCCGTCTTGGGTTGCTCATGAGCAGATGACAGTCGTGATAAATTCACGAGTCTTGTGAAAACATTCAAGACCCAGTCACAGGCATTTTCTCATGAGGATTTGAAATTCATGCTTTCGGAAAGATCTTAAATTTCACAACTCCATGTGTGCTTCTTAATAGATTCCTAGCAGCTGCGAAGCCCTTAAATCCAAAATAGAAATTTTCTTTCATTGCAGTCCTTTCAGGGTTTCTGTTTTCCAGTGTTTCTCCAAATATAATTAGTAACATGCCCGCAGCCTGTGCGGTTCGGATGTAGCGGTTCAGCCACTTTGTTGGGTACCTCGACGTCTGCGACGCTGAGCCGTCCAGGGCGGTTTCCTCCCTCGAGAGGATGCTCAAACGCTGTTTCTCGCATCTCAAAGTGTTTAGCTTCTCAGGTACGTGCTTTTCCAAAGTGGGGGTGTTTTAGGATTGATGTGGCTTTTGGGATAATTTTTCCAGATGAGACAGTGGGGTGTACAGCGAATGTGTAAAGATGATTTATCCCTCGCAGATCAGAGTCAGAAAGCTCGTGTTAGTCCTCCCTTGCGTGTGTGTGCTGGCACAGGCAAGCTACAGTCAGATTTTATAGCAAACGTACATTAAAATGCCTTTACAGTTAGGATTAATTAAAACAGTTTTTGAGGGTTAAATATAAGCTCTCTTTGGATTATTTGCAGCCTGAATATTGCAGCATTGGTCAGTGAAACTGGCTGGAAGCTGAGTAGCTCCTCTCTGTCCAGTCCCGTCCTGTGCAAAAGTGGCAAAGTCCATAGGCACAACGATGGATGGTTTCTCCTGGCTTTGACTTATGCTTTTCCTATCCAAAATCTACATGTGAACAGTCACATATATACTTTCTCTTTTCATTTTTTATTATTCGTTTCTAGTAGTAACGTTGGATAAAAGTAATGGTTTTACAGCCGTGTTTGCTATTGTCCTGCAGCAGTTTTCACTGGAGTGATCACTGCAAAGATGAGTGATCGTTGCAATCTTGGAGCTCTTCTGGCATCTGAAAATATTAAAAAGCAAAGCTGCAGATGTCTGAAGAGTGTCCGCTGTGCCCCTGGAGGTACCTGTGTCTGTATTGAAGGATGTTCTCCATCCCAAGATTTTAATGGAAGGTGGAGCAAGAAAGCTGACAAATAACCCCGCTCTGGTTTCCAGAAATAAGGCAGCTGAGGAACAGGGCTGAATCCTGATGTCTAATTCATTAGGCTGTTCTCCTTAGGGCCATGGGGACTGCCCATATGACTGGGCTGCTATAGGAAGCCCTTAAAAATAGGGCTGTGATGATTTGTTTTCCTTCTTTTGTGGCATCTCCTTGAAAACGAGGTAACTTTTGGAAGGAGAAGCATTCAAAGAGAAGACCATCTGGCATGAAATGACTGCTTAGCATTTAAGGACAAGACAGGCTTTGTCCTTTAGTACCTCTGTGCAGTCATGGAGACAGAAGGCAAAATCCTCCTTCCGTATTGCCGAGCCATCCTTAGTCCTCAGCTTTGTGGAGCTGCGGGAGCTGTTTTGAGGGTTCTTGTATGGTATAAATCAGAATAGTTGGGCGATAATGGGCCATACATAACTTAAACATCTGTAGGTTGGTGTAGATTTTCCTTCCCTTCTTCCTTTCTGCCATCACGCTTGGTTGCATCTCAAGAAAACATTTCGTTCCAGCGTGCAGCATCTTCAGTGCCTGCAGGAGCAACAAAATTCAGCCGAAGGCAGAAGCTCCCTCTTGAGTCTTTCATGACGTTGAGTTGTGGCTTCACAAATTAGGTCCCCTCAGTGATGAAAAGGTGCGCGGAGAGCGGAGATAAAGCTGTTACTTCTGTAGCTAAAGAAGGTAAAAATGAAGTTAGGCAAGATCAACCTCAGGCCTATCTTCAAAAGGCACACTTGAATACGTGCAGTCGTTGGCTTCATGAGCACTACCAAGTAAAAGCTGTTAAATGGCATGGAAGAGCTAAGGTCCTCTAACGTGGATTCGTTCAAGTCCCCCTCAGTGGTTTCAGACTTGGTTTAAATAGTGGATTAGAAGAAAAATAAATGACTTAAGTATGAAATTTTGGCCAGATTACACTGGAAGGAGGTAAATGTGGCCTTGGAAATATTCTCTTCGCTTTAGAAGCCAATGTTATTCAGTTGTCAGATGTCTTCATCCAACATAAATAAATATGCCACATAATGGCCGCAATTCTTCCCATTTGGGGTGACTGTACACTGGCAATAGCACGCCATACCCAATAATGCAAATAATCTGCTGCCGAATAATTAATGATGCGGCTGGGCATATTTTTTTGATGAATGCTTATGGACCCCGGTGACAGGCGTGAAATTAGAAAATTCCTTCAGCGCCCTAAAATATAAATAGCTTTCGGAACTGAAAAGAGTTTCACAGCTGAAGATTTTATTGTGTTGAGAGGAAAAACTTTTCCACCCCCATCCCCCCCTTTCTTCTCGGCGAGTTGTTTGTCCATTCACAAAACAAATACTCTGAAGCCCAGTACGGCTCATGGGAATAAATTTCAGGTCGAATTAGTACAGTTTCCTTGCTGTCAGGACGGTGGAATTAATGGTGTTTTGATGACACGAATTTTGAAGGGCGAACAAAGACGCTGAAGGGAGGGAGACATGACTCCTTAGAAGCGCGGTCCTCCTCTCCCCCAGCCTCTCTTGTCTTCCCTGTCATCCGTCTGCCAATCTCCCTGTCCATGGTTAGTTAAAGGCGCTTTTTATCCTCTTTTCTTTCCCACAGAGTTTGCCAGATCCGGCCCAGTGCCTGGGTTCCAAGGGGACACGCTGCAGTTGGCCTTCATCGACTTGAGACAAGTAAGTCTTTGTGTTTTTGTTTTTTGTTTTTCTTTTAAGATGTGTGACTGAAGACCATCAGGTCTTAAGGAAAGAGAGAGGAGGGGAAACGGCGTCGGCGATTTACGCCAGAGACCTATATTTTCCCCCTCCCTCCTCCTCCCTGCGCTCGAAGCCACCTCCTTATTGAGCGCTCTGGGGTCCTGGAGATGGTGGAGGTGAAAAGGGCTGGTGGTACGGGGGCGAGAAAGAAAGCCATGCCTGACCCTGGCCGATGGGGTCCATTGTGCTCCCGTTGGCTTCTGCAGACGCGGCAAAAAGATAACTCGGCGACTCTCCCGGCTGACGCCAAGCAGGTGGTGCTAACAGAGAGAGCAGTGATGCAGAGACCGCCCGCCTCGGGGACTTTTGTTCAGAGATAATGCCCACAGAGGCGTTTTGCGAGGGCGAAGGAATTTGCATTCGGGCTTGTGTGGGGAGGGTACGAGTGTGTGCGCGCCCGTTTGTGTCCGTCTTTGGCTCGGCTCCCCCCTCCCTGGTCCCCTCTTCCGCAGATGGTCCCCAGCCATGAATGACAAAGTGGCTGTTGGGGAAGATGATTGGGGAAGGCTCCACCCATCGGTGCCCACCTCTCGAGGGGGCCCCGTTAGAGCCAAGTTGACCATAGCAGGTACTGAGGCATTTGAGGGGCTTGGCAAGCCAATTTAGGGAAAAGGGCCATTCCAATGAGTCATTTGTTTGGGGTAGAAATGGGCATTATTGATATACTAGGCTGGGGGGAAAAAGTGAGGTGGTCCTGTCATCTCTTGGCACTGAAGATGGATGGGTTGGATAGAAAGTCTGAATGAAGTAAGACTCAATGACTGATGCTTCTCTCCTATTAAAACAATCTTTTTTTGTCTGTTAAACCCCCCTGGCTTTGTCCCTCCTGCCATCATGATGCAGTGCCTCTTGTTTTCAGGGTTGACGTAGTTTGCATTCTGAAAACTTTCGGGTGCCGAGGGTATTTCTTAAATCTGCATAATCCCTTGTATCGATGATCTCCTTACCACTGGGACTCTGATTCATGCTGGAGCCGCTTTTAACCCGTAAGGGTTTGAGAACTTCTCCGAATCCAATTGATGTGCAGGGAGCAATCTGTCATTCCATGACAGTTCTGCGGAGCAGCAATAAGTTTAATAACGTTGAGATGCCGCGCGTTTGCTTTTCGGACTTGAGCTGGCGAGTACCTGCCAAATTTGTTTGCAAAATGGTCAAAATAACTGCACGGGAAAGGTGTGTGCTATCACTGCTGTGTGTTGACACTTTTATCTTCATTAGCTTCTTGGCACTTTATTGACTGCAGTACGCAACGCGCTCGCAACCTCCTGGGTGTAAGGAAATGTAGAGGCTTTGGTCCTTTTCCAAGCACAAAGAGTTGAATGCAGGGATTTTGAAGAGGAAAGCTGTGGCTGTTTGAAGAATGAAATGCCTTAAAAATGCTCGGTGAGGTTCAGCTGGTCTGAGCCAGTGCATTAGCAGTGAAATGTTTGTACGGTTCATAAGTGCAAAACGCAGCCAAATGAATTCAGCTTGGGTGAGGAGAAAGCCGAACAGTAGCCCTCTGCAATTCTTCCTCCTCTGTCAAAGGGTCTTCTTTGTACATGGCATTTTCTTCTTTGTTTTGGAAGGTAGTCCCAGCTTTTTTCCTCACGTTTAAAAATAATAGCTTTTCTGAATGTTGCGAGGGGAAAGGGGAGATGCTCTGGCCTGTTGAGTTGCGGGTGAGGGCAGGCGGTCCTAGATCTTCTGGATAACAGGGATGCTTGTTGATGCCAAGCATGGTACAGATAATGGACGACATCTCATTGCTCCAAGTAGAGAAGAACCCACCCGTCACTGGCTTCCTGAGATTAGCAATAACGCGTAAAGATGAGATAGTTCCCGGCTCCCTTGATCCTGTCAATGACGTAATCCTGTGACATGTAATGTGTCACGACGCTACTCTGTGTGAGTCTCCGTGGCATGCTCC